CTTGAATAGATATGTGGACAGAGTTGGCATCGGGGTTTGTTACAAGGATAGGTTCCTGGGTTAGTGGTTAGTGCATCCGAAGAAGTGGGCTGTAGTCCACGAAAGCTTATGCTCTAATAAATTTGTTAGTCTCTAAGGTGCCACAAGTACTCCTGTTCTTCTTTTAACAATAAAAATTAATTTTAGTTCCCCAAACACAATTTATTCTCTATCTGAATATATTCATTAAATTAACAAACCAAACCCAAATGCCATAGAAGACTAACTTCTTCACTTAACACTGCAAAATGGACTATAGATAAATAATTAATTTAGAATGGGACAAATTCATCCCAATTGTAACTTCATAGGCTTTAACAGAGACTTATACTCTCACTGACTTTGAATCAGGCCCTAAAAATGCAACTATGTTAAAAATAAAATTCCCCATGTGATTTCCTTTAAGTTTCTATGAGAAATGACACATCCCTTACAGCTTCTCATTGATCACAGCTTGAGCCCACAAAGTGACATGTGAAAGGTGGTAAAAAAAAAAGAACACATAAGGACTAGAAAAAGATTGTGTATGTTATTGATTTACTAAGTAAAGTTTTGCCAAGTTTAAGTAAAGGACACAGAAAAGAGGCATGACCTACAGCATTTGATCTAACTAAATCTGTAGTAGTGGACATTCTCAGAACAGTTGTTCACAGAATCTACATAATATTAATGAAATAAAGGGCTAGAATATGAAATTAAAGTGATTAAAAATTGGCTAAACTAGGCAAAATACACTACTATGTATATTGTACCAGTAGGCCTAGTAAAGAGAAGTGCTGTGATAAAATTAAAGATTCAGCATTCAAAATAAATGTTTAGTGAATATAATGCTTATGAAAGCATTTGATTGATAGCTCTGGAGGCTAGTATCTTCTTTTTATCCACAGAACAGGATCAGTCCATCCAGCAGAAATGCAATCTTCCCCACACTACCCTGTCAATGACCTTCAACTCGGACGACTTCAGATATCAAGAGGGTTTGTAATGACCATTCACTGGTTTCTCTGCTTGGACTGTCATCAAGGGTGCCAATCAGTGCCAAATTTGGTAGCGTTTTTGATCTGGACACCTGTGTGCTAGGAAATAGACCCAAGATAACTAGCCCATTTCACATAGGCCTCTGAACATCTTTTATACAGTAATAACTTGCATTTGTGACAGATCTAGGCAAAGTTTGATTCACTGACCTGGCAATGAAAGACTATATCCTGGTGCCAGTTACCCCCAAGCTACCTAGTATATTTGCCAGACAATATATTATAATGTACAGTAATGAATTTTTCTTAACAAGATTTTTTCCCTAAAATTTTACCTGTGTTTCCCAAAGTTTCCTTCTAAGGAGCACCACATGAAGTTTGTAATTTTACAAATAAGGATATTTAAAAGAATGATTTGTAGATAATGAGGAAACTGTGTCTGTGGAGTAGGGAGAGGGAGAAGGAAATTTCTTCACTTAAATGTAATATTGGAACTTTTCCAGTTAACCAGTGTTCAAATGATCTGTTTCCTTACCTGGGACCCTTTTTGCCCAGTTGATCATGTGCACCAGTTCCCTGTCTGCAAGGTTGGTCAACAGGGTCATCATGGAGGCTTCACTGAAAGGTCTGTTAGGATCATACTCTGAATAGACTATGGGTGGTTCAGCTTCCAGTAAGGCACTGACCATCTGCTCTGCTGTAAGGGACAAAGCTGGACTGTTCTTCTTGCTATGCTTAATCACAAGAGGACTTGTCCAGAGGGTGGGGGTTCTCATCTCAGTAGAAGAAGTCCCTGCAATCCTGGCATCCTGTTCCTCTCTTTGACGTTTGTGTTTCAGCATACGTCCGCCTCTGCGGTCTTTTCGGATCCCTGGAGAGACATAAGAATATGATTAGCTACCTTTCCTTAAACTTGTACAACTAATCATGTTTATAACTTCAACCAATCAGCAGATCTTTGGGTAGAGTCATGCAGCACTTCTTTTGGGTTTGTTTTCCCAAGAAGCAACAGAGGGTCCTGTGGCACCTTTAAGACTAACAGAATTATTGGGAGCATAAGCTTCCGTGGGTAAGAACCTCACTTCTTCAGATGCAAGTAATGGAAATCTCCAGAGGCAGGTATAAATCAGTATAGAGATAAAGAGGTTAGTTCAATCAGAGAGGGTGAGGTGCTCTGCTAGCATCCCAAGAATCAGTTGTAAACACAGAATCTTAAGCTAGTACACAGGGGGAACGTTATGTATATCTGTAAAGTAGAATATTAAGAATGCTTCTTTATTGTAAGTGATTCAGAACATTTAAATGGATTTGGTTTTGGGACAGGCTTGTCAACCACCAGCCTGGGGGAGCCATGATTTGATGCTCCACTCCTCTCAAAAAATAAAAAAATCAGTAACTGAACTGAATAAATATTGTCCTACTATATGAACTGCCAAAGCATGCCCTAGCTTCTAGCATACAACTAATCACACACGTTTCACTGAGCAGGTCATCAGGGATAGCTGCACGCTATGTGTGGCTCAAATAGATAACAAATGTTGGACTCCAAAACTGCTCATGAATGCTGCGGTGCTAGTGTTGAAAGCCATAAGAGGTTTGAATCCACAAACTATTTTAATTATAACTTAATCCAGCACCGAACACTTGTTCTTTGTTAGTGGGGAAGAACCACTCAGGGAGGTTTTCCCCATCATATGTTGTTCAGATACTATGGTAATGAGTGCTACATAAGCAGACAAAAACTATATAATAAGGATAAATATAAAATGAGAAGATAGGTCACATGGCAACCCTCTTGTTAAGTGAAGAGAAGCACAGAAAATACACCTGGACTGTAAGCTTTCTGGAGCATGAACTGTCTTTGTTCCTTATTTGGATAGTGCTTAGCACAGTGAGGCCCTGATCCTTGATTGGGATACCTGCCATAGTAGTCATAACAGCAGCAGTAACAACAGAAGGCCTGGTCTGAGCAGAACAAATTCTCCCTTTGTGGAAAAAGTTACAAGGAAAAATAGTCTGAAGGGGCCTAGGTGGGTTCCATCAATGCAGAGAGAAGACAGAGGTCAGATAGGGAACTGGGGAGGAGGCTGGGAGAATAGTTTAGAACAGAGGTTCTCAAACTGGGTTCGGAACTGGGAGGTTATTCCATGGGGGGTCGTGAGCGGTCAGCCTCCACCCTAAACCCTGCTTTGCCTCCAGCATTTATAATGGTGTTAAATATATAAACAAGTGTTTTTAATTTATAAGGGGGGGTCGCACTCAGAGGCTTGTACTCACTTTGTACTTTGTACTCACCAGTACAAAAGTCTGAGAACCACTGGTTTAGAAGAACCACCAGAGAGTGGTCAAGAGATATCATGCTGATTGGGTGGGGTGGATGTGTCATATTGGGCACTCACTGCACCCACTGAAAAGCAATTCATCTCAAGCCCTCTCAAAGGTGTCAAAATCGTCATGCTTATGGGCATGCTTTAAATATAACAAGGGGTCCCAAATTTGGTAGCATTGACACCACACTCCCCACCCCAGCACAGTGCTTTCTTTCTGTAAACAAACATCCATATAAATGGTTTTCAAACTTTTCCATAATGTGAATCAATGTTACAAGATAAGACACCCACCCACCCACACACACACTCCATAAAGAAAAGGAGGGTGGCCATGACTCTCCTGAAACCTGTTCATGACTTCCAGGCTGAGAATCTCTGATCTATATGAATAAACATCTTCCCACAGAAAATGACATTTCACTGAACCAGGGCAGTGTGAAGAGGGCAGAAATTTTATTCTACTCTACTAATACTCTGTAGCTCTGCTAACCATATTCAATGAATCTTTCCACATACACTGGGTTCATTACATCTCTCACACCCATCACCTGACCTTTTCATGTTTTACCCATTAGTTAAACTAATATTTTTTCTAAGCCAAGTACCTTAAAAGGTTTGCTATTCCCATTTTTCATAAATTCATTGCTATTTTTCCTACCACAAAGGCTTCCTAACAGCAGGAACAAAAGACATATTGGCAAAACTTCATCCTACACCAATTCTCACAAGTAGATTACTGGAGACTATTGAATAAGAGATCTTAACTACAATTTTCTATTGCATGGTTTATAGGACTATGATGTTTGTGAATTAAAACTTGCCTATGAAATCAGCAAGCACAATTGTGCGAAAAAAAGCCATGTGGTTCACATATACTAGAGCACATCATAACTTCACCACATCCTGGATTATAGAATCGCTGATTCAACACATCTCTGGTTTAAAAAAAAATTCAGATTGATTGAAATATAAAATGTGCCTGTCTATGAAACCTGTTAACATTTACCCGCTTGCTGTGATTAGCATTATAGAATCGATTGACATGCAAATTCATGCCCATTTTGTGTAGGCCAAGCCCACTCCAAAACCCATCTATTAAAAATCACCACTTGGCATTAGCAAGAATGCAACATTCTGTTGTGTGTGAAAAAGACTTTTTCTTATATGCTTTGCCCATCCAGTCATTCCTTCTTCCCAGATCATTGTTTCACAGAATGATAGGTTTGGTGTTAGTAGAGGTTGAAACCAGAAGACCACATCTGAACTGGCACTGAGGTCATAAGAAAGCTTTGCGCCTGGGGGTAGAGGCAAGATGGTCTCATCACAATTCCTCCTCACACATTCTCAATACCACCAAATTATTTACATTCCTGATAAAGTCACATGGCTCATTACAGCAAAGAAGATCAGAGAACATTCACTTAGAGCACAACATGTGATATGCTGTAAACCAACACCAGATAGTGCCATTCAGTGGTCAAATAGACCTGCACTGAAGACAAAAAAAGATTACATGAACATTTTAGGCCCAGAAATATTCCAAGATTCAATAAGTGTATACACTAATAATTAATTTCCATACAGGTGAATTTTGTCTTGCAAATTTAAGTCACCAGTAAAGTTGGCTGGCCTATATTTCTTATATCTGACACAGTAGTGAAGCATCTAAGTAGATGTCTGGTGTAACCAATTATTGTACAGTATCTTTTTTTTTGCTATATTTGTGTGAGGGCTTTTTTTTTCCTCTTCAAAAACACAATATACTCTTCTATAGTTAAGGTTTAAAGTTTGACTCTTAAGTGCTCTACAATCCATGTTTACTCCGATTTTCTACAAGTTTTGTCTATGTTCTAAATATGTTCTTCCGGAAACCAATCACACTATGGAGCTGATCCTGCACAGCAATCCACACACATGGGGTCCCACTGACTTTACACAAGCATACAGGTCCATATGGGCCAATCCCTGTGCAGGATCAAGATCAAATTTAAAAATGGAAGATTCCTCACTAGCAAGGCATGGATAAAATTACCAAAATGTTTGTGTTCCTGTAATCAAGATGCAGAGGGCAAGATCCTCACATGGTGTAAAAGTTAGCTGAGTTCCATAACACTAGCTCAGGATATAAACCCAAAAGACTATTTCTGTACTAAACAAGAAAAAACACATTGGAGAGACAGAGCATGTAGTTGTTGCTTTGGCTCACTTGTTTTTGATAGATGTGCCAAAATTGTTCTACACACCCACATTTCATTCCTGGACACCTCCTGATAGTGTTCATGATTATTGCTAGGAGCAGAGGGTTTGAAGTAATTTCTAAAGGTAAGGTACTGCATTGTAGGATGGAGCTAGGAGGATCTGACAACTTCATGAGTCTGCTAAACTTGTTGCCTTTTATCCATACTGCAGAGGCACATTTGTAGACCTTCATCAGTTCACCAGAATTAAGCTAAATATCTCATTCCAGTGATGATTAGTGGTACAGTCAACTGGGACACAAAACATGGTACAGTCATGCATATGACAAGCAATACACTCAATGCTTGTTAAATTTTTTTGTAAAATACTGTGCTAATATGTAGTATATACATTGCAGCACAAGGCATTGCAAATAGTGGCTTCTGGTGACATCTTTTTGCCTATGAATGCAATTTAAGGTGTTGAAAGTGATCTTTAAAGTCTTATCTGGGTTGGACCATATATACCTGAGATATCACCTGTCTCTCTGTTTCAGCACGATCTTTCAGATCAACTAGAGTGCAGTGTTCTTTCTAATATTGCCTTGACTTGCATAGGTGGTGGCTGCTGATAGGACAACTACAGTACTGAAATTCACTTCCACAGTGTTTCAAAAGAGCCAGTTTGTCAACCTTCAGTGCATGGTGTAAAGACCATCTATTTTCACAGGGCTCTGCCTGGTGGTGAAAGTGGGGAATATACGGTATTGATGGTGTGCTTATTTTCTAGATGGAGCATATTATTTTTATTTAATGTCAGTTAACTAATTTTGTTGTTTTGTTTAAATTATGTGTCCAGAGACAAATGAAATGGGTACTTTATTATAAATCAGGAAAATCAAGTTTAGACCGGGCCATATTGTATTTTAGATTGGAAGTTGTCACTTAGGTTAGGATTTAGATTAGTTATGTCCTAATCCAGGATTTTTCCTCTCTATATGTTAAGGAAATATTTAGGGTTCCTCTGACATCAGTGAGATAAATTGTCTCAGTGGGAAACTGTTCAAAATGGAGCATTTTAGAAGAATACAGAGCAACCTGTTAATTTCGGTTTTTTGCTGGAACTCTTAGTTTTGGCACTTAACATCAACAAAAGCTGATATGTCAATTGAATATTTAATATTGAATATTCACTTAGTTAAACAGGTCCATTTCTGCTGAGTCCTAAGTGAAAATAATCTGTTTAAGAAAAGATATTCCTTTTTTCATTTCCCCTAGGCACATCTGCGCCTCCTCTAGAAGAAATCAGAGGCAGCCTCACAATTTGAGAATGAGAGCATTAATCTACACAAATACTCTAACCA